TGCAGCTAACCAAGCAGACCACACACGAAGAGAGGAGGAAGCGCACGACTGAAAACGAAATAGAGAGGATAAAGAGGCAAAGGGGAGAGAAGTTAACGGTCTTGTTATCACAGAGGGTGAAAAATGAAATGGTGAGTAGTTTTTTCCGCCATAAAAACTCATAATGTATGTTCACCACCTCCCCCCGGTGTCCAACATGTTATCCATAGCATCTCTCATCCTCAACACTGTCCTCTCTCACAATGTTGCTGTTAAAGTGAGTTTGGTTTATTTTCTTTTTATATAGAGTTTCCATCATGCTCCACTCCCTCTGTGGTTCCAGCGCGGCTGGCCAAATGGCAATAAAATGCTCAAAGGACATCAGAGAGGGAAAAGGAGACCTATTTGTTAGCCTAACAAAATCCCCAGTAGTTAAATAGGCAGTCAACATGTGAGAAAAAAGGGGCAATGGTCTGCTTCAGTGCTATTGTGAGGGGTAAGACAAGTGGCTGAACAACAGCCGCAGATACGTATCTAACCAGTGTCGGTGTCTGTGTAGGAGGTGGCTCAACAGTCAGTCATCTTTATTTATGTTGTGGGAGGGTCATTTTTATGTACGAGGTCAATTAAAACTCTGAAAATATGCAAAATACAAGAAAATAAAGTAAACACATTGAAAAAGAAGAACATAAGTCAAATAAAAACAGCTTCGGTCAAATAAAAAAAATGCATGCAAAGTCATCATAAAAAACAAATGCTTTCAACTGCTGTGTTTGCTCAAATTATGGCTTTAAAATGTGACTGGAGTGACTCTAAGTTGAGATTTTCCTGCAGTCTGTTCCATTTGGATGTGAAATGAATGAAAACTGAAAGCAGATTTCTTTCCTCGTTTTATTGTGGTTTTCTGGAACTTTGAAAACTAAACAGTCCCGACAAATCTGTGTCGGTGTGCCCTCTCTGTCTCTCTGTCTCACGCCGAAGAAGATGCGTGTTACTGTGGTCCAGTCTATCACCTGAGATACAAACGGGAAACCTCCGGGCATGGAGACATGAGACACAAGCATAAGCGCTCAGATGAGAGTTATATGTCTAAATACATGTTAGAAAGTAGTGATCAAAAGAACAGAGAAAAACAATTACAGGATGCAGCTGCCAATATGTTTTTTTGTCAACAAATCCCATGAAAAGACCAAAAAATCAACAATGCTTCAGTCTGTCTGTCAATACTTAACAGTTTCCTGTCTGTGGCACGAAGCCACAATGGTTCCTATTGAGGATTTAAATCTTTAAAAACAGGTCACAAATACATGCTTCAATTTTTATGAAACTCTAAATGAGTTCCTACAACAGCAGGTCTGTGTAGTTTTTAACAAACAAGGAGCAAATAGTGCATCTGTTTGGGACTATTTTCAGCTACAGATTTGGTTTGTTAATGAGTATTTACAACAGCAGGAAGATGCTCAAAAGTGTTCACAGTTTTTTTTATATAGTTTTAGGCTATAGTATAAATGGAGGGGAGAAATACCGTACGCTGCTTTGGCAACACAGAAAATACTTTTGGAATCAATTAATTGTTTAATTGTTGGGAAATATTGAACAGTTTCAGTCATCACACCATCATCTTTTCCCTCTGATGTCTGCTGGAGTCAGTCTGCATCCAGTACTTAATTTCAGCTCTGTCTTTGGTATCCAACAGGTCAGTTGGGTCTCCTATCTCTGCTCAGTGACCCGCTCACAGTCTGGGTCATCACACAGCTCTGGAGGTTAAATAGCTGTAAGAAAACACATTAATCTGCGAACACTTGGTGAAACTGGCCTTAAGCTCTCTCTCCACTGTCCTGCCTCCCCCCTGGCAGCCGTGCCCGGGAATAGGCATGTAAACCATGTAGGCCTGACACCAGTTGTTTTGACTGAGAGCACTGAGGCACTGACTTATTGTGCAACACAAGGCAGAGCCTTTAGCCTGGTGAGCTATAGGGCCGAAATCCCAGCGGTTAACTCACCCCCTCCCACTTCCACAACTGACCTTTTTCCAGGATGGAATTTGGAAGCATTTTCCCAAGAAAGGTTACTCATATCAGAGGATTTTGATACACGTTGGAATGTATTTCTCAGCATTGTTACAGTGTTGCTAAGAAATCCACACCCATTAGAGTCAATTTGTTACCTTGATAGTTTTGAGCAGGCATCCAGAGCGGTATCGGTGCTGTGAATGGACAAACAACGCCCCAGTTGCCACTTAAATTCTCACTTTTAAGTAAACAGTGGAATAAAGACACTAAACTAGTCTTACATTTACAATCAAGTTGTCGAAAACCATGTGGCACTTCACTTATTGTCAGAATCAGGTTATAGTAAGGGCTTTCAATGAAATATGGGTTGAATCAGATGTAGGTAAAAAAGAAGACAACATAAGCTTTTTAGCCATGCTGGATCACTTTGGTCCAGACTGAAAAATGACTACACAACAGCTATTTTATTTCAATTCAACTTTATTCAGACAGTCATGGTCATTAGGACAAAGCCATTGGTGATGGCTAAATTCTGACGTTCACAGAATGAAATGTTCCCCTCAAGAAAAATTATAATAACTCTGGTGATCCTTTAATCTGGCGCCACCATCAGGTCATAACCTTCCAAACCATTTAGCCGTTTATCTCAAGGCACCGCTTTGCTTAAGTAGCCTCACAGAGACGCTAGCATGGCTGTACACTCTTGTTGGCGTCCATAAAATGGAACTTATTGTTTATTCATGTATTCTGCATTTTTCAGAGAAAGGGAGAAAGAGTAGATGTGTTTTTTTGCCATTCTGACATAAGCATCATCAACAGCAGCTTAGATAGAGAACGAGCTAAAGTCTGTACAGTAAAGAAGTACAGAAAAGCTCTTTGGAGCGGGTTGAACAGAGTATTTGTGTTTGTTTTTTATGTGAGCATGTGCTTTTATTTCTGTTTTGGACACGCTAGCAGCTGAGGAATACTTGTCCGTTATTTGTGTGCATTCTCTGTGTGCGTCTCCGTGCATGCACTCTGTATTTGTGCAACACTACTTCAGTCAGTGTGTGCAGCAGAGTGTGTCACACCCACCGCCGCATGCTTATTACATTAACACGCAAACTCCATTTCAGGCCATATTATAATTAGATTTTTTTAGATGTTCTTTTCTTGATATTACACTGAGACACTCTTCTGTACTTGTGTTACATGACTCTGATGTGAATTTAGAGTCAGATAGAAGCTAATTTATTTATTTAGCTGCAACAATTCAAACGCTCAGACAGACATTAGGAAATGTTCCAGATGGAGATGTTCGAAGACTACAGAGAGGAAGCCGATCTTCCCACCAGGGCCACAAGTCTGCCTTTTTGATTAGGCCCTCATTTGTTTCCAAACTACACCGCTGATTAAAGCACTATTTCTGACATTTGAGGGAATCCTTGTGAGATTTAGAGAATGAAGGCCGGGACTCTGAAGGGGGATCTGAGATCTTAGCGCACTTGCATTTTGTTGGTGTGGTCTCAAAACCTTCTCAAATTATCCCCTCACAATTCTTTTACTGCCCAGATAATGATTCATTACAGTTGCAAAGCTCCACACAGTGGTTTAACAACTTTTGATTCCAGTAAAGCCCTGCCTGCAAACCTTGCCAATAAACAAACATACTGTAATTAGGCTACTTAAAAAAACCTAAAAGTTGGACTTCTTAAAGCTCCCTCATGGTGGTCTTTAAGTTCTTGATTTTTAATCAGAGGTAATAAACAGACTGCTTCAAATTACTTCAAAACACCCCCCTCCACTTAAAAATGTGTTTTACCTATTGTTACTTCACTCTGAGTTGTGACGTTCACACTGCCGTTTGATACTTGAAGGAAGTTTCTCACCTTAAATCTGAATTTGAGATACAAGATCATTTTGGGACATCAAGTTTTGGATTGTGGTCCAATATATCGCACTAGTGTAATGTGGAAAGTTGAGACTGAGAATGGACTTTCAGTGAAGTATAGGAGACATATTTGGGCCCGACAGGTTCAAAATGAGAAATATTTACAAATGTATTGATTCAGATTCCCTCACTGAGAAGAAAGTGACCATGACATTTTGTTCTGACATTCGTGGTCCCCAGACAATGTATCTGAATAATGTTGGTGATCGGCCTGACATTTCCTCTAGCGCCAGCATGAGGTTAAGATCTGTAGCCATTTATTTCCCCCTCAGGATTAACTCTAATAATAGTGATCCACTGACTTTCCATCTAGCGCCACCATCAGGTCAAACTATACTTTGGTTTTTATATTCCCAATTATAAATAACAAATGTTAGTAACATGGTGAACATTAGTTTAACATCAGCATATTAGCATTGTGAGCCCATTACTTTTCATGTAGCCTATTGTAACACTGTCATCTGGGCTAATTTCAATTTGTCTATTTATAATTAGAATTGTTAAATGATCGCTTGCTAATGACATTTTCCCATCAGTCTCAGCTTTACAGTCGCCTACTTTGTGTTTAGTGGCGCTAATCAACTACTGTTTGTATGCTATGCTAAGTTAAGATAGTGAATAGTGAACTTTAAAAAAAAAACTTTATTAAACTTTTTCTAATAACAAACAGACATTAGGGGTGATAGTAAACATTACACCTGCTAAACATCATCATGTTAGCATTGTCATTGCATGCTGGCTGCAGGACTGGTTAATAAGTTAATTCACTTTTTAAAATCTAATATTCAAAGCAGTGTTTTATATGTATAAGGGATCTTTAATCTTCATGGTGTCAAACTGTAAAATAAACTTATTTTGTGGGGTTGTAGGGTTACAGACTTTCTCCTTCAGCTCAAAGAAATCTTCACAGGACTGTGTTTACATCCTAAAAAGAAAAACCTGAGCCAGCCTTAATGCAATATCCTGAGCTGCTCCTGCACATAAGTGTGTGTGTGTGTGTGTGTGTGTGTGTGTGTGTGTGTGTGTGTGTGGAGGGGGGGGCTGACTCCTGGAGAAATCCGATCCTGCAATGGGCCCTTTAAAGGAATATGGGATGAGTCTGTTGAATGGAGCTCAGAGTGAGTTGAGTCCCACTGAAGTCTGCGCTCCAGAGAAAGCCCAAGGACAGCAGGAGCGACACAGGAGACATGAGACACTGAACAAAAACCACCCAGATGAATGAGGAATGAAAAGCGGAGAGAAGGTCGACGGACTGAGGGAGAAGAAGTTATGAGCCGGATTGCGACGAATTACCGGGGAAGGTGTCCGTGAGCGGAGAAAGCCGACTGAAGGGAGGTGGGGGGTGGGAGAGAGAGAGAGAGAGAGAGAGAGAGAGAGAGAGAGAGACAACAAAGTCACAAGGTAAAGTAACTGTGAAAGACTCCGCTTTTGAACCGATTTATCTCTTTGCTTCCACCATATCACTGTGGTTGTTGTTGTTTTTTTAATGCAGATGCTAAAGGATAAACTTTACGCAGACGCAGAAGGTTGTTTGGGAAATAAAAAAAAAAAAAGCCGCAGCTGCAGTATTTTGAGAGATGACTGAAGTCTGGTTGAATCACTTCTTTTTTTCGCTGACCGACGGTTTTACGGTCGCTGCTGTTATACTAAGCTGTGCGCGTCTTGCACACCTGTTCCTTGTGGCCTTTTTTTGGACCAAATTCTGGCCACTGCTTGTCCTTGGAGTAGCTCTAAAAAGCTTTATTAAAGCTATATCGGGTCTGTATGTGAACCTTGGTTGCATTTGCATGACTCTAGAGGAAAACTGAACTGTCTTCCACACGTGCACTCTTTTCCTTATTATCATTATGCACATCTGGAGAAGTCATGATGGTCCATACATCAATCTGACCCCTCCAGCAGCAAGCCATTGCTGTTACTGGACACCTTCTTAAGCTACTACATGACCAGAGGATATATATTATGTCTCACAATGTATGGTTACTATAACTCATGCTTTTTTTTTTTTTTGGTCCAGAGACAAAGCCTTTCTCCATGCCCTGCAGTGCTGCAGGAGAGTCGAGGCTTTTTAAGTGTGTGTGCAGGACAGAGGAGCAGCAGAGGTAGATGTTTACACCTCAGTACAGAAGAATGTCAGGGCCTGTATTTAAGGCTGAGACTGATAATGAGTGTGGTCAGTTCGCTGAGGCCTGTCATTAACCTGAGCCGACAGAGAGCTGCGAGTTTGCTTGCTGGCAAAAAAAGGTAGGAGGAGAGGATGTAGAGGGAAGGAAGGAAGGAAGGAAGGAAGGAGGGAGGGAGGGAAGAGGAGGGTGTGAAAGGTGCTGCAGGAGGAGAGGGAAGGAGGATGGAAAGTGAGAGGTGTTGGAGGAGGAGGGGTGAGGCAGATAGAAAAAGAGGAGTAAGACAAGATGGATAAGATGATAAATGTGAGGAGGATAAACATGAGGTATATTCATGATTCAAAAAGTAGGCTGAAGACTCGCATTGGCTTCTGCAGTGCTTTAAATGTCTAATTTGAGTAATTGCTCAGTTAAAATGGCCTTTTGAGTCTGAATGATCACAAGTTAACGATAAAAAGTAGGGCAAATGCTGTTATTTATAAAGTTTAAAACACTCTGCACCAAACAAGAATAATGTCAAAAGGTTAAGAAACGTGTAGCTGCACTGAAGATCCCCCCCCCCTTTATTTATAGGACTTCATCCCAGCTGTAGCTCTAAAATGGGACCAGAGTAGTGAGGCACTAATTTAAACAAAAGTGTGAGGCCCCCTTGACCGGATGGGAGTCGACAGAGGTCCCCTTTGTTAAACATATGGGGCCGCAGAGGAGAAGATAAGGCAATATTTAACACACCCACACTTGACTCCTCGTGCTCTCAGATAATTTGTCTTTGTCTCCTTTTGTACACACAGAGATCTGCCACGCTGACACAAATCTGCAGCGACTGACCCACATTCACACGCATGCTCCTGTTTGATAGAAGTCTTTTTTATTTGAAGGGGTTGAGGGTTGAGCAAGGGGGGCGGGGGTTACATGCCAAAAATGTGGGGAAGCCAAGTTGGACCTCGGTAGAGACAACAACAGCGGGGATTTGAAATGTCTGGTGGGGATGATATCACTGAACCACCTAATCACTTACATCACCGCAGCTGCATGCTCAGCAGTGTGTCAGCGTGTGTGTGTGTGTGTGTGTGTGCACATGTGTCTGTTTCCAATCTATTTCTGTGTGTATCTCCATCTGTGTCTGTCTGTGCCTCTGGTAAGCGAGCGCTGAGGAGTTACGACCGGCCGGGGGAGAGTGTGTTTGAACGTGTGGTGATTGAGGAGGTTCTAGTCAATGCAAAGGACTGACTTTGAGACTTGTGCTCCATGCATCCTTTTAAAGAGCAGCACACACCCTCAGAGCTTCGACTGAGAAAAGGTGCAGCCCCAACAATCAGCCACACAGAAACACCACACACACTGTCCCATCCAAACAATGTTCTAATGATCTCTGATAGCTTCCACATTTTGAATAAAAACTCTCCTCGCTGGATATCAGATCTCACTCAGTCTCAGGAATAGTGCAGTATAACTGTCAGTGTAGTCAGTGGAAAGCAGTTGCCGGTGATGGCAGCCGTAGAAACGATCCTGCTGGGATCGTTGCGGTGGCGTTTCCATTCAGTCGTCTTCCCCAGTGTTTGCTCTGGCTGCGGCTGCGTGCAAGTTCTCACAGCTAGATGGAAGTAGAGAAGCTCCCAGGGCCTTCTTGTCTGTCTGCAGCCAGGAGAGGGCTCACCATTCTGGGCTTGTGCTCCCCCATGCACCTCCCCACCCGCCCGCTCTGGGTGGCCCGCATGTTACCAAACATGGATCTACCATACAGATCCTGGAAAGCTTGTTTTTGTTGTCTTGGCTTTTTTTTTTTCAGCCCCCCCCTCCTTCCACCTGAAAGTTTCCAGCATTGGTATGATATACCAGACAGATAGAGAAGATCCTGTAGCGGAGAGTAGCATTTATCAGATCGTATATAACAGCAGGACTCAGTGGAAAACTGTCTTCTGTAAACCATCCCACAATGGAGGGTTATGCTCATGCAGAAGTAGAAAATGACTCCAGTTTAAATCTTAGCTGTAACAAAAGCTACGTTACTCCCACACACACAGTGAAAAATGACCTCATTCTTGACAGGCTGGTGATGCAGGGTTGATTTTATCCTTCTGCACACCGATTGCACAGAGGAGATGTGGCCTTTTGTAACCTCTGGTTGCCTTCCTTTCCTCTTCTTGCTCATGAGAAAGTTTGGCTTTACACTTGCTGATTATTCAGTTGGGTTCCTGGCACCGGTTGGCATGAACTGTAACAACCCCACTTACTTCCAACAAGCAGGGAGTGTTAAAGGAATTGTTCCGGGGAGAATTTGCATGGTAGTGCTGAGAGTGTTTAACCATCAAATGGCTTGTTTGCACCCAGCTGTTAGCTCTCCCGGAGGAGGGCCTGGCCTCGTCTGTCCTGGCTTGCCCCAGTGTGGCGCAGCAGGGCTTATTCAAGCGGTCTGATTTCCCCTCTTCCCCACGCCGGCATCCTGCTTTACTTGACCTTCATACTCTCCAGTCTGCCCCGCAGAGAGAGGGAGACGTCGGTAGCCGGACCTTGACTGTCCAGCCTCGGGTACAGCGGTCGGCTGGCAAAACCTCCACATGCATGACTTCTGTAATTTGTTTGCTAGGCCTGTATTTATGAGCATGCTAATTGTAGGGAGTGCCATGGTGCAGTTATAGTCGCTGGACTTTGAACGTCTGCTGTTCTGCTGACGGTGTCTGGCTGCACTTTGAGTCTGTCTGTCTGAATACTGCTTAAGCTTTTAACTTCAGTAAACTTCATTTTCTTTCTTTACTAAATGATATGCACACTTTCACTCGAAATCACACACATCTCAACATCCTCACTGAGCTCTTGTGAGTTATAACCGCAAAGCTGATTGTTATGGCAGCTTTTATCTCAGCATAATCAGAATTTTATTGAGTTCGCACAGTGGGGACTTAACCTTTGTGAATGAGTGTCCGTTCAGAGAAAAATAATCACTAGTCAATCCTCCTCAGGTAAAAATAACCTCAGCGCCCCAGTTTCCCACATTCAGCGCTCGGCCCATTCATTCTCACACATTCTTTCCTCCTTTCTTTTGCTGAGGCGAGCTGACGGCCCCCCTCTCTAGCTGTGATGGGACTGTCATGCAGAAAGACACTATTGTGCTGCGCAGGATCCCGTTTCAGTCTTGCCTTGTAATTAAGAAGGGATTGCATGGCTAGGGAGTTGCGGCTGGGAGTAGGGGGGAGACCAGGGGATTGGGTTAGTAGGTAATTTGGCTAAAAAGCAGAGCGCTGACCTGCTTTGTAGCTGGCAGGCCTGGGAGCCGGCACGCATGAACCCAACTCCCCCGCTGACACACAGCCTCCCTGCTGAGGTTTTGTTCAGTGTGTGTGGGCATGTGGAGAGAGTGCGGACGAGAAGGAAAGAAAGGTTGCGGCTGTGGCAGTCTCTCCAAGCTGTGTGTTATGTGTATGGATGTATGTATGTTGCTCTGCGATAACGTGAGCAACACCGAAAGTGAGAGTAAGCTTTTACTGAACTCATGTCATTGCGGACTCATCATTAGGGTTTGCTCTACCCATGTTTCCTCAGTGAATCATGGGAAGTGTGGTCAGTAAAGAGCATATGTAGAGGTTAAGTCACTTTTTTCTCCTCTTGTGCTGTAAATGAAAACAGAAGCTGGACTGCTTGAGGAAATGCCATCAAAGGGTTGTGTGTGCACCCCATTAGGTCTCATATTTGCCTTATTACTGTGAGCTGGAAAAGATTTAGATTCAAGTTAAATTTGACTAATCACTAAGAACAAAGGTTCTACTTTCACAATTGTTTGTCCAATACACGCAATTCCAATCAGACAAACTGTATATGTGCTGAGCAGATTTGTGCTTTCTGTCTTTCCAGTGCAGTCTGAGTTCAGAGGCAGAGCTCTGAATCCTCGCCATGGCAGACGTGCTGGAGAGCGGTGGCGGCGGGTCAGGAGCCGTCAGAGTGGCCAGCGTGGATTGGCAGAAACGCTGCATCGCTCTGGAAATGCAGCTACTGAGGTTCCGGCTCCAGGCGGGGAAAATCCGAGAGCTGCTGGCAGAGAAGGTAAGAGAGAAAATCATCATGTGTGCTAAAGCAAACAGTTCATCTGATAAGGATTTTAGTTTTCCAACGACAACTTCCCTGATGTTTCTGTTTTTCACAAGTTAAAACTTATGTAACCTATAATTGAAGTGTTAACTAAGAGGAGACTTTACATATTAATAAATTAAAACAGGTCACACTAAACAAACTAGTTCTTATGTATTAACTAGTTGCTACTAAATATTTACACCCGGAGACTTCCAACCAAATAGCTTAACTGACAAAGCTAACGTAATATGAGCTTTTGTATGAATGGAATCATAAAACATTTGGATATTTCCCACAAATGTTTAACTACATACAATCAGCTTTAAAATAGATTTTAGATACATATTTCTTTATGTATATAAACACTAACATTTATAGAGGAATGAAGTTTAATATGTAATTTGCCTTAAAACTGTTATTTTTGGAAGTTATGTCACAGCTTATGATTTTATGATGACTTCCTGTTTACAAAGTTGATTGTTTTTTTTAAAGAATAATTTAGGGGGCATTTCACATCTCCACAAAGTTTGGCTGCTAAACCACCAGAGCAGCAGTAATGGATTAATGAATAGCTGAAGCAACCCAATCATGATGAGAGTACTTTACAATTTACCTCAAAAACTTTAAGGTCTATGTGCAAAAAAGAGCAGCCCATATGTCACTGTCTTCTTGAAACTACCTCCAGCTACTCCTGGGGGAACGAAACATTCCTAAGCCAGATGGGAAATGTAGTTTGTCCAAGGTGTATTGAGTCCAGTTTGTTCTCAAAAACGTAAATTGTGCTCGCGCTCTCATCCTTGGCTTCACAACCTTGAGGCTGTGAGAGCTTGAGACTGTAGCCGGGAGTCAGAACAGAGACTGGCCAGTAAATTTACAGATTTCTCTCTGTTGCCATGGTAACAAACAACCAATACACCTAAAGCGCCAAAAAGTCAGGGTGTGTATGTGGCGTGTTTATCATAAAACACTTAGATTAGTGGGGTAGGTGATTTAGATTCTTTTATAGGAGTGAAGGATGGGAGTGAACTGGATTTTCGGTTAAACTACAGCATGTGTCACATGTTTGAACTGGTGATTTGACTCTGATTTGGTATAAATAATGCAAAAATGAACTGAATCTGTGGCTGTTTAAACTTGGGCCACTTTCATCTGCTAAACAAGCCATGCCACAAGATATTCTGTCCAAACACTGCACAGATGCCACCGCTTCATCGTCATATTCTTCTTCTCCTTCTTCTTCTGGCAGTGTTTTTTAAGTGTTTGCTGCATGAGGAGTCAATTAAAGCATGTGAATCAGTTAGAAATACAGGTGTGGATGATTGTATGTTTATGTGCGTGCATAAAGACAGATGAGATTACTCAGCTTATTTGGTAAACATTCTGTTCACTCACTCTGTGTCATCAGAGGTTGGCTTCAGTTTCAGCCAAGATGAATATTTAACATTTAACTCATCACTCCTGGTGCTTCCCCTCAAGTTTTTGGGGAAATAACCGCCAGCCAAAAGCTTGTAAAGTAGTGGCTGTTGTAAAGCCCGACTACCAGACACTTTGGAAAGTAATCAGCTGTCATCAGGAGATTCAGCTCTCTTCTGAAGATTTGTTGGTGAACGAGTGGAAGTGTTTGGATTAGAGGAAGGAGGAGTGAAACCGCTCTCCTGTCTTGACTTTTCTACAGTTTTCATTCGGTTTCTTTGCAGCTTCACAAGTTCTTTTATAGACTCAAAGTGTCACAGTGGTAGGCTTTCTGTATCATCTCTAATTCTGGAGTGCTAGAGTGGTTTATTCTGTCAGTCAGCAGGATGTTTACAGTCCAAACATGACCCGGAGTCTGATAAGAGCAGGACGACTCCCTGCTGTGTCTTCTGTCCGGTTCTGTCGGACCTCCAGCTCGTCTGTGAGAAAGTCATTAAGGGTCCTTTCGCTACAATAATCTTTGAGGAGTCAATCAAAAGATTCATGATATATTAAAAGATACATGTGGTGATATTGTACATTTTTGTTATTGTCAACAATCCCACAAAAAGACTAAAAAACTATTAAAGAAACTATCAATTAAAGCCTGGTCAATATGGGATTTTTGAGACCGATACCAATTTTTAAAGGGCGAAATCCAAAGATTACTGAAATGGTGGCTGATACAGTGATTTTTTTTCTTTTTTAAGTAGATTGTGCACTTATATGAACATGCAAGGGTGCTCAGAAGGTCAAATACATTAATTAAAATATGAAATGTAATATTCTTTAACATATTAAATTAACACATACTTTGTCAACCAATTCTATTGCTGAGAGCTGCTTCCTCTCTCTTACTCTGTTCTGTTTGCCTCAATATTATCAATACTACCAGCACCTTTTCTGCATTATAAACTTGAAAAATCAATCAATCAAATGTTGTCCTCTTACTACATAGCTAGCTAGCAACAGCAATGTTAGTTTATTAAGTCAGTGTTTAGCAAACTTTTTCCAACATCTACCTCCTAAGAATTATTCTGAATGACGTTAAAATACAGTATTTTGGAGCCACGAGTGTTTTTTAACCACTTTTACCTCAACTCGCCATCACATTTTAGCTCATAACTAATCGTGGATGTACTCGTGTGCTACGTGCATGAGCGAGACTGCAGAGCAGGCTGACATCAAAAACACACAAAAAAATTACAGGAAAGGATATTATTATATAAATTTGAACTAAGTAGTCTGATCAGAAACACTGAAATCAGCATATTTCTTTGATGTTAACTGTTGAATGAGTAGGATGATGTCAGAGTTAATGAATGAAGTAAAAGGAAATGGCAATTCAGCCTAATTATCAGGCTAATGAGGACGGGGAATTTAGTTTATTTTGGATCAGTCCTACTGTACAGACACTGGCGCACCAAATGAGTATTAATCTGCAGCTGAAAATAGTCCCCACAAATTCTCTATTTCCTCCAGTAACATTTACTGAATACGAGAGTGCAGCCTACTCCCTTTTTTTTAAAATGATCTTTTAATTTGCGAACTGTTTCTAACGATTTGCATCTTCATTAGGACAAAGAGGGCTTGGGGCCACAAACAGGGTACGTCTGCATGTATTGTACTGAGAAGTGGGTGGATTTTCAACACATTGTTATAAAAAGATATAGAATAATACCAACGTTTTCCCTTAACTGCTAATCGAGCCATTAGTAGCAACTGACCTTACCTTATTAAAGCGTGGTACCCACACACACACACACAGACACACTTACTATCAGCTTCAAGGTAAGTTCAGGCTTTCGGAAAATGGACTAATTACTGTCTCTCTCTCTCTCTCTCTCTCTCTCTCTCTCTCTCTCTCTCTCTCTCTCTCTCTCTCTCATAAAAACACACACATTAATACCCAACATACACAGTATTTATTGTTAAATGTTCTTTTTGGCCATGTTTCAAAGAAAAGGAGGCTAGTTAATCTCTCACTTTTTTCTCTCACTCCTTCTCTTATAAACATACATGCATCCCACCCTCTGACACACACACAAACACACACATTACTGAGCGGGGAGTTTTAAGTGGAGGCCCGTGTTGCTGAGTGTGTTTTTCTGAGTTTTTTTCTGTATGGTTGGAGAGCTGGCTGGAGATGGGGGGGGGTTGCTGAGTGACTACCATTCCGTCATGTTATTGCTGTTTGGAAAGTCTGCTTCACGCTCTTCATCTCCTCTCTTGCCAAGTTAGGAGTGTTTTACGCATTGACCCACTTTGGTATGGAAAAACATGGAAAAAAAAAAAAAAGTTGACGTGGTTGCCTGTGACATGGCATTTATCCCCAGAGGCTGACTACGAGTGAGGGAGAAGGGTGAGAGGGAGAGAGAGAGAGAGAGAGAGAGAGAGAGAGAGAGAGAGAGTGGGGAGAAGGAGATGCCCCATTTGCCTTGTGAGGAGTGTAACAAGTACTCCATTTAAGAGTTTTTACTGCAGATTAGGAAAGTGCAATCGGCAGCTGTCAGCTGGTGGCCCATAAAAACAGAAACTTCATACAGAAAGAACTGGAAGAGACTGTGAAGTGACTAGGAGAGAATATAACATGTTTGACACAACTTTATAACTGAATAATTTAGCCTAAAGAGTTCACAATACTACAGACATCGTCAGGGATTGACCTTCAGGAGAAGACGTTTACAAGAGCTTGATATCAAAATCCTTACTGAGGCTGCTGGGAAACAGACAATTGAGTTTCAAATATATTTACTTGGCTGTCCCAGAATATAGAAATACCTCATTCAGAGGAATTTTTAAATTGGGTGGTATTCCCACTTCAAGGTTTCCTTTCATTACTCGGATAATCTAATACTGAACAAATTAGATTAATCTCTTCCATAAGCCTCACGTGGCTCGAGGGGCAAAAAAAACGCAGTTATTTGACTCCGGCCGGTGGTATCAGTCAGCGAGGATGGCTGCGGGAAGGTCACTAGGTTCGCAGTTGTGTGCATAAACATTTATTTTCATGAGAGGATTTGTTTGGATCAGCTTTTTCTAATAGATCAACTGCCTCAGTCTGTTAAGGTTGCCTATATTTAACCCTGTGAGAGTTAGGAGCTAGTTTTATGCATTTGTCTTGTGTTTTCCCTGTTTTCTTTATCAGCTTTCTCTTTCTCTTTTGTCTCCATATCTTAATGATTAAAGTGGATTTAATAGATAATCACTGAGGCATTAAAAGGAGTACAGCATTTCATATTAAGTGCTGATGTCCCACGTAGTATTCACACCGTGTGATGCCTTTATTTAACTCTTTCTCTACCAGTGCCTTTTCTCTCTTTCCCTTATCTGTCCACTCTCTTTCCCCCTCTTTTCTACAGGGGTTTTAACATGTAATGATTAAGCCGAAGTCATTGCTACCATCAGCTGTGCACAATAATTTAATGATTAATGATTAATGTGGAGAGGCAGGCGGCGCACTCAGTGAACTGATATTTCACAGCGAAACCAATATTTGACGACTCCTCTACCTTCTCTGCCGTTTTCAGATCCTGATCCCGTGGACGGTGTAAAGACATAGAGAGGAGGCAGGACAATCCAATCTAGGGGATCAGATCTTTAATCTCTTGTCAGTTAGTTTCTGGCAGTAACAGTAAACAGATATTTAACTGTGACAGATCTGTTAGCTGTCTGGGAAGCAGATGATCTGCCCTCTTCTTATCTCCACCTCCCTGGATATTATCTGATCCTCTGGAATCCATACTGAGGCGGAGAGGGCCAACGCTCTGCTTTACTCTGTCATCCACTCTCATTTTCAGTTATAGTTTGAGCTAAAAGGCGCACAGATAAGGACAAGCAACAGTGCATTAGTCTTTCACTACTCTTGAGGATGCCTATAAACCTGTATTATGCTAACGGAAGATTTAAATCATTAAAATGGGTCTAAAAAAGGCTAAATAAGTTCCTAAAACTGCTGGACATTGTAGTTTTCAGCAACAGTTACTCAAACAAGAGTCAGTTCGTTGAGGACTAGTTTTAGGTACAGATTTGATGCTCTATTGAGTATTTAAGACAGCAGGACTGCAAATAAACTGTAAAAACAACAATGATCTGTTGTTTGGTTCACAGATAATACTCGTTAGTAAGAATACGGAATATCAAGAAACTCATTAAAGTCTGGCGATATAGATGCAACTCAAGCTGTTAATACAAAGCTTTACGAAACCTGACTCCCACCTCATCCATTTTCAGCCTTGTCAGCAGCAGAAGTTGGTGTGTTGCACCGTGGCTTGACAGATGCTGGATTGAAGACATAGTTTTCTCACGCCTGCTCAGTGACTCAGGCCGCAACAGTTGGACTCTGCAGTGACTAAACGGACAGAGACAGACGGAGAGATAAACCGACAGCACCACCTTACACTGTCTGTATCCATATCTGATAGCGTTAAGGCTAAAGAAGCCAGTTTACAATCAGGTCACCCATTGATTGCTCAGAAACTCCAGGAACTCCAGTCAGAGATGTTATGTAACGGTGAATCCCAACTGTTGGTAACTTCTGAGTTTAGTTTGCAAGCAGAGAAATTTAAACATGTAGATAATAAGAAAGAAAAATAGTTTGCTAAAAGTAAAGGATAAACAGTTAAATATTTGATAAATGGTGAAATAGCTAAAAATAAATAGCTGATAGGTTGAAAGCTAAAACTGATAAACTTAAAATATTTATATCACAGTTTTGGATAAATGGTGAAAATGAATACAATTTTAGGGAATGGATAAAAATGATAAATGAACAGTTACAATAGTGAGCTAAAAGTATTTGGATATGGTGAAATCACTAAAAGAATATCCAGTTTAAAGCATTAGCTAACAGGAAGTAATAGATAAAAGTAGTTAACTAATGGATAAATAGTTAAAATAGATGGCTAAAAATAACGTTAATTAATATACAGCTCCTATTGGATAATGGATATAAATGGCTGAAATAGTTGGCTAAAAAGTAACGAAACAGTTAAGACCCAAAATCATTTGAAACATGACAGGTGGTCTTAATAAAGTGGTTCTTAAGTTCATCTGAGAGGGCCGTGTCAGTACGTCTTTCCTCTTTCCTCCACACAGCTGCAATAAATGCCCTTAAGGAAACCACTTGAACCCCAGAGATGCTAAAGCGTCTCTCTGCATACACGCTGGTAGAACTGATATCCACCATTTGTCCTTTTGAATCTAAGCGACTTGAAAGACGTATCCAATGCCTTGTGCTCAGTACTATGACTGTAAGCCTAGCTCCTTGTATATTCACACACACCTCCAGTTAATGGTCCTGCTTCAGCTTCACACTCACACTTTAAACTCACAACTCAACATCCAACCACCTCCACCTCCTGACCTCTATATTGTCCTCAGACTGGATGTGGCAGGTTTTGAGGCTGTAGGATGACTCCTTCTGATGACCGCTCCTCACATCTGTTCTACATTTTGACCTCTGAAGTACTTTATATTCACTTAAAAGTGCTGGCTTGCCTCTCGTTTTGAATGGAGGACTCTGTGCTGTTTGCTCTTTGGCTCTAGCTCGGTAAAGCCTTTGACTCACTGTGAACGCTTCTGACCTTGAGGTGAAGCGTCATCTCACCACTAACCATCAACATGCGCTCTGGCTTTAGTGAGTGTTAATCTGGCTGTGAGGAAGCGTTCAGATGTTGTGAGTGGTGGTGGATTCTGGGAATCAGGCGGCCTTTATGGAGCTGACGAGAAAGGGAAACAGAAAGAAACAAAGGGGAAGGGAAACAAAGATGACGGGAGGAATTCAGAATGCATCTCTCAGGCAGAGTGAATCCATTAGCATGTTTGTTCTCCTTTCACATGGGTCACTGAACTCAGAAGTAAGGGTCGAACTTGTGTGTGCGCGCAAGCATTTAGGAGTATTTTGTATATGCACTTGTATATGTGTGTGTGTGGCTTGCAGAGAGACAGGGGACTTGCAGATGCGTGCATACTTGCAGCATGGACAGTGTTTGTCTTTGAAAGCATGAGTATGCATGCTTGCACAAAAGGTGACGCAAGCTTGTGCACACACGCGGTGGCATTCTTCTATCACGCTGCTGTTTGACCAGCGGTAGTAGTGTGAAAGAAGTTCAGCCTCCTCTGAGGGCCTCTCTGCTGGCTCTACAGTTTGTCTGTGCCCTTCTGCGTAAAGTGCCACTCGTTATAAATGATTGGATTTTACAGAAGATTATCCTTCATGTGCTTCCTCTTCTCTCTGACTTGGCTGATGCTTGACCCTCTCAACCACTTTTATTCTTCCGTTATTATTCAGAAAGATTTTCTTGATTAGGATTGTTTTCCTAGCACAGTTGCTTCCCACTACATTAATCATCTAAACGTCTTCACTATGGCAATAGTGATTATGAAGGATTAAGTGTGTCTGTGTGCATCTTTAGGTGTGTGTTTGTGTAGGCAGATTCTGGCTTGGTGGTCTGTCTAATAGGGCCTTTTGTGGCAGGTTATATGACATGTCTTGCCAGAACTTGTTGCCCTGGGCTGCTGTAGATGTTTTCTTTCTTTAAATTAAGTGTAACTCTTGAGGATTTGCTGATGTGTGTTCAGAGCCATTGTAACTTCTTTTGTCTCTATTCCAGATGCAGGAGCTGGAGCAGAGGGTGACGGAGGCTGACCAGCGGGCTGAGAGTGCTGAGAAACAGGTAGAAGGGCAGCTGTCATCCTTTTGACCGCAGCCTACGAAATATGAAATGTTAATTTGGCCTGAATCACCAAAAAGAAGTCCAACAGGGCCAGAAACATGAACAGGTTTTCAACAAACCCCCAGGCTGAACTTATCTGGAGAAATAATATGCAGGCGAATTGTAAGATTATTTCCGAACTGTGTGTTGTTACAGACAAACTTGAACCAAGTTCAGCTTTGAAAGCCCTAAGCACTTGCACCAAAGCTCTCTGATCATGCATTTAGCTGTTGTTTTGGGAGGGTTGCACTTTCAGTTTTTGATGACATTTACTTGCTGTTGCCTCACACAGAATAATTACTGACTTGTTTTTGGTGTTTATACACTAATGAAAACATACATATGAATAATATATTCCATTTCTGACAATAGATCCTCCTAAATGTTGCAAACTGGACCTTTAACTTGTTTGCTTTTGTGGTGCTTTCAATTGCATCTCACTGTCTTTCTCAGCATTTAGAGTTTGCTCAATTTGTGTTTGAGCAAAGCTTCATGCGCTGAGAAAATCCATCTGCTAAGAAAGGTTGTGATTTGCGGTTGAAAGCTCTGGAAGAAGCTAGTAAGTGATCCTTGAATTAAGATTTTTCTGTCAAACTACAAGATCAAGAATGAACTTTCATGCTCAACATTGACTGATGTAAGAAGAAATCCTAAAATTGGGCTCTGCAAAGTCTCATAGTCAGCTGGATTTCGTGCTTTTTGTTGGACTTGTAACCACTAAGTAGGAGTCAAGCTTTGATGGGACTTAACAAAAGGAGAGTGTGGTTTGAGGAAAAGAAACCTCATACTGTACATATGACACATACTCTGTCTCTCTTGCTGTTGTGTTTAATCTCAGATTTGCTGTCATTACTTGCTGCTCCAGGTGTTTTCTGTAGGTGGTAATTTAATGGTGCCCTTTCTTTAAAAAACAAGAAATACCTAAGGGCTTAGAAAGCTTTTTCTCCTCAGAGCTTGCAAAAAGTATCCACAGTGTTTTCTTCTTGGCTTTGCATGGTGCCCATCAAATCTAAACAAACCATGCAAATTTGAGCTGCCTTTTGGCCGTGCTTACGCGTTCACTCCTCTAATTATTCATTTCAGATCCATGTCATGGAAGAAAAGCTGAAGTCTGCAAACATACAACCCAGCGAATCAGAGAGCTCGTTGTACAGGAAGTATCAAGACCTCACCAGTCAGGTTCAAGAAAAAGATGCTGTGATAAAGAGATTAGAGATACAGCTGGAAAAACAGGTATGGACGGACCCATCAGATAAAGAACAGAAATGTCCATTTATGTTCATAAAATGTAGTTTGAAATAATCCACAAACCCTGTTTTCTCTGACTGCAGATCTTAGTCAGAGCCCAGGAGGCAAAAATTATTGAGGAGAAGGCTGCCAAGATTAAAGACTGGGTCACCTTTAAGCTTAGAGAGGTAAGCTCAAGTATGTATAGATAGACCTCTGACTGAAGTAAGAGCCTCTGGGAAAGCCCTCACCCTGCTGAGAGACATTATCTGTAGCAACAAGAGATGCTTATGATTCAAAGTGTATTATCTACAGATGTTTGTACAGTTTAGTCTTATCTGCAATTTAGATATAAATGATGACCCATGTATCTCTGTAACTAAGCTGTTTTAAGAGGCATTGCACATCAGCTTTAAAATCATGTTTAAACTATAACAGGTGTATATGATTGTTGTTTAAGATATATATGTCTTTCCCTTTCATTTATAACTATATGCATATGACAGACAAAACAAAAAAAAAACCAACAGGACCAAGAAAAACAGACAAACAAACGGGTGGATCGAGGGCAGAGAGTGCAGAGTACAGTCAGTTACAACCAGCATCTTAGTTACCGACAACAATGGCAAAAGAAAAGGGACACATCAACTCCATGTCAGCTCAAATCAAACATCACGTTCATGTAATTTCTGCTTACAATTAACAAACAATACACTATTATTCACTGGTTGTCCTACTTAAGAGACAAAAAGAAAAAAAATATCAAAACTGCATTGACAAAACCACCAGCATGTGTGTTTTAATGGGATGTGGTATATTTAAAAATGACCTGATTGAAGATATGTACGTACTTCGTTGCAGATGGAGCAAGAGAACCAGCAGCTGAAAATGGCCAACCTGAAGCAGACAGAGCAAATAATGTTGCTGCAGGACAAATTACAAGGTGAATACAAAACAATTAGAGGTTGTAATGCTTTCATTTTATGTCTTTTTAGGCATAATTTCAACAAACGTGCGTGTAAATGTGTAACAATTTAATACATTTAAATGTGTGATTGAGTCACTGAGACCTGCTAAACTAACTACTGTTAGCAGGAGTTAAGCTGGTTTAACCTGATTTAGCTGCTGCCTTAATAACCATGTCAGTTTATAAAAATGCATATTTTCAAATTACAGAAACGCTAGAAACCAATAGGTAAATTTAGTTTTAGATAAGGCTAAAAAGGCTTTCACTAGATACAGCGCTCTTGCTTGAGCTGTTGCTTTGGTAACACTTACTGCAATTTGACTTTGTTTGTGTTGTTACTGCAAAATTAGAAAGCTGTTTTCACAGAAATTACACATCCATATGGTGATTTTGACCAAATTACTGCGTTGGCAGTGCAGAGAAACACAGGTTTTTTTTTTCCAATTCGTGCACTGTATATGAATATTTTCCCCCTGGGATTATTAAAGTATTTCTGATTCTGATTCTGATTCTGATTCTTGCATATTAGATTGTACATTTCTATGTCCTAACAGTATTTTGTTCACAGCAGTACATTAAAAGGTCACGTAGACAAGTAGGGAATTGATGTATCTGTTATATATATATAAACAGCACTGTATATCTTCCCACAGCTCCCGTGGGAAAGAGACTGAGTTACTGGTGTTGTCTTTCCGCTCCAGCTCTCTTAGAGAAACCTGCATCCTCTGGATCCCCTGCCACCTCCCCTGTAATGGATACCCACCTGGTGCCCAGCAGTCCGCTGTTTCCTCCCAGCTGCCCCGGCACACCACCTGCCCAAGATGACAGCTGGAGACAGACGGGTCCCCGCGGAGCCGCCTCTAATAGCAAGACCTCGCCAGGTGTGCTTTCCTTAATTTATATTATCTTGGGATGAGTTGAAGGAAACTTTTGAAGCAAAGAGGAATGTCTTTAATTCAGGTCTGGCTGATCACACAACTGTTGGTAGCCTCACCAAAATCCAGTCTGCAAACAGTATATCTAAAACTGCTCATTCTTCTTTAGAGTTGGGTATCATGTGTTCAAATACCTAAATAATTTTTTTTATTTTCTATTTTTTTAATAAATTGTTTGTTTATGGTAACTAATAACTTTACTTTTCTTGTTTTGCCATTATTTTTATTTAAGTTCTTCTGTGCGCAAGATTTTGCTAGAAAATTAAATGTACTGCTCAGAAACAATGCGTCATGGTAGTGATTTTAAAATGAGGAAATAATCCAGCATTTTTCAATATATTTATATATTATTTGTGACTGTTGCTTCAAGGAAGACTCCACCAAAAAAAAAAAATCTATTTTATGAGTAGCAAATGTTTACTTACTGTCATCTTAAAGATGGCTATTTAAAAGCTCCTTTGTGGAGAATTGCACTTTAAATTGGAGCAAAAGAACCCAAAACACATCAAATTGCCCGTAAACTTTTCAACCTACCTCTAATTCATATGTTCTTCATGCTCTTATTCTAGTTCCTCCAGATCATTATATACACAATCTCTGTGTAGTCCTTTAACATCAGGTCCTCCATGGTATGCAGGCTTTCTCCAATGTTATTAATCTCTCTTCAGATGTGAAAAGGACTCCTGAACACTCCAGTAAAGGGATTTGTCTCGGAGACCTTGCAGCCCATGATGCTCTCTCTCAGGGTTGGAGCAGGGAGGGTCCTAGCAGCCCTGTTTCCATTAGTGGACCAGAGCTTCCAGTGGGCCCAGAGGGCCCGTCAGGGTGCTCTGACAGAGACAACTCCTCCGATGAGCTCAACAGCAAGTTTCGCTCTCAGTGCCTTCACTCGTCCTCTTCCTCTTCATCTTCATCCTCAGCCTATGAGATGGCCCATGGACCGAGCTCCCCAGAGTCAACCATCAGAATAACACCCAAAAGCCCGCTCCTGTCGCGCTCCCCCTCGACCAACAACCCCTTCCCGAATCCTCCGGTTCACCAGTCAGGCACAAGCATGACGTTACCCAAAGTACGGACACCGCTCACCCCCAGAGACAGCATCCAGCTGGTCAAGAAGCATTACAGCCAGCCGCAGCCCAGCCTGGACCGACTTCACCACCTCAACGTTAACATAGACATCATGACCCCATCCTCCACTTCCTCTACCCTCAAGAGCACAGGCACCTTGCCCTTCTCGCAGGTTGTGGAAGAAACAGACATTGATGACGGGCTTCCTGACAGCATGGACGGGGTGGTGGAGGGGTCGGGATCAGAGGACCCATCCAGGGATGGAGTCTCCTTTGTGGGACTCGCTGAAGAACTGGAGCGGCTGGATCCAGAAGTTCTGAAGCCACCAACGCCTCCTTTACACCGCTTCCCTTCATGGGTATGAAACACCACTACCTTACCAGTTCAACTTCTGCATGCTTCCTGTGTTATTTTATGCAGTTAAAATCCGCAAGCATGAGCAATTCCATTGGATCGCTTTTTGTTTTAGTCCCTGCCCAAGGCACAGGACTCTTAGAAACCATTAGAGAATAACGGAATACTTTGATATTTTGGGAAATATGCCTATTTACTTTCTTGCCGAGAGTTAGATAAGAAGATTGATACTGATGTCATGTCATGTATGATAAATATGAAGCTACCAAAGAAAAAAGTGAATTCCTGCACACACTCATTACCTCTGCGTTGATTTATTAAAAAGTCGACGTTACGGTCACAAGGACCTCTTTCAAGAATCTTGATCTCTGCAGGAGAGTCGGATCTACGCTGTGGCTAAGTCAGGAATGAGAGTTTCGGAGGCCAGTCCTGGAGCCAGGGGCCCTGGACGAGGTGAGTCCCCTGCAGCCAGAAACAAGAAACTAGCTGTCCACTCCTTCTTCACTAACACCCACTTCTCTGCTACATCAGTATCTAACCCTGTGTGTGTCTGTCTGCGTGTGTCATGAGCCTGGGTGGTGTAAGAGACGAGTGAGTGCTGTGAAGTGACGTGTCATTCAGCTGATGCTAAAGCTGCCGTGGAGGTGTGCGGTTGGTTTGGATCTGTCATTGCTGTCTTTGATGTCACTTCCTCTGGCCTGAGGCTCCACACACCTGCACAGGTGTGGGCTCCTCTTCTGGAGACAAAAAGAGCTGAGAAAGAGCATTGGAGGTGGGGTGGGAGTTTTCGAGGAGCTGAGGGAGAGGCTGCTTTTTAATCAGCTGCGATGAAAGGATGAAGTCTGTGTGTAATTACTGCTGTGCTTTCTGTCCCGACATCATCCATTTTGTCAGGATGTAGACGTTGAGGTTTGACAGCACTATTGAATTTCCTGACTGCCAGGTACATGGAGCTGACTGCCAAGTGGCTGTTGCGGATTAAGTCATAGCTTGCTCAGCTTATTCAGCTTCCTCTCATGTTTGTGCCTTAAGGTGCATCTGTTGTTGGAACGTTTCAATCTTTGGCATAAAATACAATGGAGCAGTTGTATTTTGTTTTAGCTCAAGACTTTTTTTTTTTTTTTTTTTTTTTTACCAATTGGTATTAAGGAAGCAATAGCACTGCTGTAAATGTGTAAATTATATATGAATGATATATCTTTATTATTATTATAAAAGCTCTTTTCACCCTGTGCGACAGATATACAGATATATAATTACAATATTGATAGATTGGGCATTGTGATTGGAGTTATGTTCAACTTTTCAAGTTATTGATACATTTTCTACATGGCTACGACTCCTGTTGAGTTGTATCTGTATAAGGGTCAATGTATGGATGAGCAACCTATAAAAGAAGAAATAACTATATTCCTTTTACAAATGAAAACCTAAATTCATAAGCAATAAAATGCACCACAGCTCAATTCAACACGCTCAGGAGTTTTGCTGCTACAGACCATGGCCAGTAGCTAAGGTGGCTAATGTTAGCTGTCTTACAGATATTGCTGTTACTGAAATAACAGACTCTTCCTATGCGAATGTTACACCGTGTTTTAGCTCATGTTTTGCTGTAGTCTCACTTTAAGCAACAGATGCTGTGCTACGTGCATGTCCATAAAACATGTTGAATCAAATAAATTCTGAATAAATGTTTTCCTGTGTATGTTGCAGGGTCCAATTTACCCCAATATCCAGCGGCAGGTCCGTTCACCCAGTTAATCTATAAGAATATTAATGTACCAGTCTATACCACACTGAAAGGGGTGAGTAAAACAATCTTTATCATGAAGATTTACATTGCTGCTCAATCTCTGCTTTACTTTCAGAGTTGTAAAGATAGAGGTTTTCATCTGTACTGAAATTACATTAGGCTGTGTTTATCTTTACAGTACTCTTTCCATTATTTGTTTTAGAAAGCCACTCAGATCAGCAGCGTACCTCTACCGGATGATGACTCCGGGTCTGAGGATGACAGCAGCTCTCTGGCCAGTTTACGGACCTCCATCTTGAGCCCCGACAGGAAGAGCAGCGTTCCTGGGAGCCCGCGTGCCGTCAAGAGAGGTGATAATTGCAGATTACAGTGCAGACAGGACGGGACAGTGAAAACCATTCCAAAATGTCAAGTTAGGAACCAGGAAAAACTGCCTTATTTTAAGATGGTTGACAACGTATATTTAAGATAATCTATGATTTTCAAATGCAGGGTTATATCAGCCTCAAGGTAGGAGTCCTCATGGGCTCTTTCTCGCCTTAATGCATGGTTGCCAATGTACAAACACAATTTTTCCTGTAAGTAAAAATGATAAAAGTTAAAAGCTCTAGCGGTTTTTCAGCTCACCAGAATGGTATGTAGTTGCAAGAAGCTGTATTGCGAGTACGGAAAGTACCAAGATGTGAAGCCATTAACTGAAGTAGAAGTAGATGATGCAACACTGAGTGGCTACAGATACTCAACACTTGAACTCGGTGCAAAACAACTGCTGGAATGCTTTGAGCATCTCCTACTTCCTTCAGCCACTTCAAGTATGGCTTTCTCACTCGGCCTCATGTATGTACCTTCTCCTGTTTTCTTAGGTGTGTCCATGTCCTCCATCAGCTCAGAGAGTGATTATGCCATTCCTCCTGACGCCTACTCCCTGGACAGTGACTACTCTGAACCGGAACATAAAGTCCAGCGAACCTCCTCCTATTCCTGTGAGAGCACTGGGCCTGTGAGTGGAGTCCTGCTTTTCATCGTGCAGGCCTTGAGCTGTCACCTCCTCCATGTTACAGTCAGGATGGCTGACAAACACTAAAGAAATCATTAAAGTGAGTCCGTTGCGTTTCAATGATTGCTGAGTCGTTTCTGTCTGTAGGAGATGCTGGAGAAGTCTGGGTACCTGCTGAAGATGGGCAGTCAGGTGAAAGCCTGGAAACGTCGCTGGTTCATCCTGAGGAATGGAGAGATCCTCTACTACAAATCTCCTGTGAGTGTGTCTCTCTGTCGGCCCGCCTGCCTGCTTCCTTCTAAGGTTTTGCTATCTGCGCAGAAAACATTACACAAATATTTAAAAATTTGGTGTGCTTACATCCAAGATGACTGCAGTTGGAGGCACAACTACCGTATTAACACCTCAACACAACCACAACATCATTTGTGATGGCATTAAAAGTCCTAATTTTAGATATTTGAGACAAATGAAGATTTTTGTGGTGTATGTGTGTTTTTTTTGTGTATTCAGAGTGATGTGATCAGGAAACCTCAGGGTCAGATTGAGCTGAACTCGTCCTGCCGTATAGTACGTGGAGAAGGAGCGCAGACATTTCAGGTATGTGGAAAACGTATCTGAAATCCTAGCAAAGGATCCCAATAGTGCTTAACTTTGTGTGAGAATACTGCAAGACAAGAAAAGTATGATTCATGTGGCACACTTCTACTGGCTATGCAAAGAAAAAGAAAAGAAATGGTATTTAAATTTTTATAGATCTACAATTCAAAAGACTGTGGCATGAAAGAAAAAATAGAAACCTTAAATAAAGACAGTTGTTAGAGGGTACATGCAGCTACACACACACACACACACACACACACACACACACACACACACACACACACACACACACACACACTAGCACTCTTATTATAGCTCTGCATCACTGTGGAGCTTTACTGCTGCATACCAGAGAAGCAGCTTAAAATGACATCAGGTATAGTGTTGGCCTGGAATGTTTTCCTGGCTCTTCAGGAGCTGATTCTGATCTCTGACACGATGATGCTATCTCGGACGGCTTGGCTTCGCATTTTTCCCATATTTCTCCCTTTCCGTCTAATCAGTTGATTACAGAGAAGAAGACCTTCTATCTGACTGCCGATTCACCCAACATCCTGGAGGAGTGGATCAGGGTTCTACAGAACATACTCAAAGTCCAGGCCAGCAGCCCGGTCACCGTGGAGACCACCGCCAAGCCCACCGTGAGAGGTTGGCTTACAAAGGTCAGGAGACAGAAGTCATGATGTATCAGTTAAAGAACCGGCAAATTTGGTTTTGCTCATTTGCTTATCGTGCAGCGTTCGATGATCAGATCAATACCATGTCTGTAAGCTAAATATGAAGCTGCTGCTAGGAGACAGTTATGTTAGCTTAGCATAAAGACTGGAAATGGGGAAACAGTTTACCTGGATCCGTCCAAAACTAAAAGCTTCTGTCTCCTTGCACCCCTAAAGCTCACAAATCAATACATGATATGTGTAAAGTGTTTGCTGGGTTTCGGAGGTTTTAATATCTTTATCCGGCCTGCAACTAACAATTTGTGTTATTATCAAACAATACGATTATTTTTACTGTTAATTGATAAATTGTTTGGTCTATAAAATGTAGTGAAACTTTCCCATACAATTTCCCATAATCCAATCTGACATCTTAAAATTGTTTGTTTTGTCTGACCAAGAGTCATTAGACATTGAGTTTACTATCTTCAACAACTAAGAAAAGGCTGCAAATATTCTGTTCATTTGAGAAGCTGGAACAAGTACATTTTTGTAATTTGTGCTTAAAAAACGATTAATAGATTATCAATTTTGTTTTTATTCTGCAACTAATTGATTATATGTCTGATTGTTTGAGCTCAGGTTTATGGAGCATCTTAATACAAAACCTTTTTGTATTCACTGAAATAATGTATTCATTTATATTAGGTTTTAAACTGGTATGTCATTCTAAATGTTTTATAAATCCTTACTTCCCTACCCCACTTCCATTGCAGAGTTGCAAGAGGTTTAGATTAGCCAGGCTTTCTCCCTGAAGAGGATGCCAGAAATAACTCATTTTCAGGCTCTTTCAGACCGATATAGAAGTGTCTGTCACTGGGGTGGGGAGGATTTGACAGAGCACGTTGGGACACGGCTTTAAAGCCCGAGCTGCTGGAATGCTTGAGATCTCCTTTCCCTTCCACCCTGCTCTTTTCCCTGCCTTTCTTTAGCCGAGGCCTGTCTGTTGGTAAAGCTAAGACACTTAAACATCTGACGACTGTGTGTGATGAGTCTCTGACAGATGACTGACAGCCTCAAGCTGAGATGATGGAGCTCGCGTCCTCTCACCAAACCCCCCAATCCGCTCCTGAGAGTCGTCTTTGATCTTCTAGTTATGAAGTGATCTCGGTTCAGACGGGGGGCTGTTCTGCCCAGCGCAGTTAACCCCGGTGACCCCCTTCTGAGGGATGCACAGCTGGCGTTGATGTGTTTGTGTTGATGGCATCCTCAAGTGACATCATCACTCCATTCATAATTTTTTAAAAGTCTGTTGCAGAACGTGATGTGTAATTATCATCTGCAGCAGCATTCCTGGTTAAAATGAAGTCGGATGCGGCTGGGGAATCACAGCGTGGATGGACTGTTTACATTTTTGGGGGGAGTCAGTTGTCACTTTGCTTTGGAAACGAAAGGAAAAAAAGTTAAACTTAAACTGTTATTTAAGTCACAGAGGTTGCTCTTCATTGATTTACACACCCAGCTGCACACTCCTGGGACATCTGCTGGTCAGATGTAGAAATACCCTGACTAACATCTGTCAAGCTTTTGAAAACTTTTTTTGGTCTGACTTTCAAAGAAGAAAATGTGCAGTCTTATATTTACTACAGTTTTGAAAAAGCGCCTGGGACCTGCTGACTTTTCTCATACTTTCCATGTCATTGTCTTTTTTTGTTTCAGGTCAAACATGGACACTCTAAACTGGTGTGGTGTGCTTTGGTTGGAAAAGTCTTCTACTACTATCGTAATCAAGAAGACAAGGTTAAAAAAAACTTGTCTCTCCCTTCTCCTAACATTCGTCTTTTGTTAGTGATTATTTACACCTGCTTCAGAAAGATTTTGCAAATACATGCTTCTTAGTGGTTGTCCTAATCTGTCCAGAATAATAGGCTTTTGACAAATAAAGGATAGGTGCTTTCAACTATTGCTTAGACAAGAAAAAGAAGGTGTAATTATGTAAATGTTGTATGTTTCTTTGGTTAAACACACTGAAATGTATCCGTATTGACCACCATGTTCTATTTGATTCCTTGTTTACTGACTTTGATCCGTTGTCTTAGTTGCCTCTGGGGCAGCTGCAGATGCGGGAGGCCTCTGTACAGGAAGTGGATCGCTCCTGTGACTCAGATGAGGACTATGAGACAGGCAGTCGCGGTTTCCTCTCCTCCCACTGCACCTTAGTGGTCCAACCGAGAGACCAGAGTCCTACGTACCTGCTCATCGGCACCAAGCAGGAGAAGGTACTGGAACGGATGAAAGTGCATTTTATCATTCACGATTTGTTTCCTTCATTTCTGTGATGTACATGAATTGCTTTATTTCTACACAGGATACATGGTTGTATCACCTGACTGTGGCAGCGGGCAGCAGTGCGACCTTCAAAGTGGGCACAGAGTACGAGCAGCTGGTTGGTAAACTGCTCGATACAGAAGGAGACCCAGGTGAGAAATCCCCGTTTACAGCAAAGAAGCATCATTAGTAACTGCAGCAGTCATCTGTGGTGTTTATTCAATCTAGGTTTATTAAAAGAGGTTAAAATATTACTTTGTACACTGAACTGGCCTATAAAGTTACAACATTTTTTGCATCACCCAGTCCAAAAAGTGGGCTCTTGCAGGATTGTGTTGCCATGTTATTTTTATTCAAATCCTGGACAACAGATCTTTTTCACAGCAGCCATTTTGACATAAAATAGTAGGGTAAACACAGGTTTTAATAATGATACTAATTAAGGCTCCATTCCAGTCAGGTCAGACAGAGTTAGGGTGCCGCCACTGTGCATGTTTGCTCACTGGAAAGGTTCTGCCACACTAAAGGGACGCATAATCAACTGAAAGGCTTAATTTACTCAGTAGCATGCTACATGTTATTTTGATCCGCAATGTCTGACAGCCTTAATCCACACTGCAGACTGTGTTTACGACCGGGGCACTGTGTGTGAATTCTTGTCAGCTGTTGAGTCATTACAGCTTTGAAACTCAATCTTTATGTTTGCGTGGGTTTGTGTGTGTGTGTGTGTGTGTGTGTGTGTGTGTGTGTGTGTGTGTGTGTGTGTGTGTCTGTGTGTGTGTGTGCGCGTGCGCTTCTCTGTCTTTTCCCAGAATCTGTCTTGTGGAAGAGCGAGGCCTTGAGCTTCTGTAAGGAGGGTCTGCGCTCGCCTCTCACCACTCTGCCCTCTGAAGCTCTGCAGACAGAAGCTCTCAAGCTTTTCAAGGTCAGTCTCTCCACCTCTTACCCCTCTTTCCGTCTATGTCTCTCTTCTCTTTCCTTCTCCTTTGTTCTACTCCGCTAAACTTTTCCCATATTCTTTTCATCCCTTTCATCTGATTCCCTCTTTCTTTTTCTGTCCAGCCCTCACTGCGAGGGTCTGTTCAAGGCATCATCCATCCCACTCCAGTTTGTCCAAACCATAGCCCCCATTATCCCCTCCTACTCCTGGATGTGCTCCGTGGCCCTCCTCTTCTCTTCCCTTATGCCTCTAAACCAGATCAAAGGCTTGAGGACGAGGGCCCCAGCTCATTAAAAGTGTGGAAGAGAGATAATGGCCTTGATTATCTGCTCTGATTGAGGCTAACTGTTCCTCTGGTTTACAGCCAGTGTGAAAGGAGACCCTTTAAAGAGGAGACATGGGAGGTCAGGGCCTTCAGAGAGTGGCAGCAATGGATATGGAAGCCACAGAATGGGGGAGGAGAAATGGGATCAGAGCTGAACAGGGACCTTGTAGGAAGATGGCAGATCCTTTTCCTCTCTTTTCAACTCTGCCTCGGTGCGCCCACCCAGAAGCCCCCACTCCCCTGCCCGACTCATGCTTCACAGCCCCATCCACTACAGTCACTACACTGCAGGACTGAAAGTTGAATGTGTCGGCTCTCTTTGACCAGCCAGCCTTAAAAAACAGTCCCAAACACACACAAAGAAACAGAATGAATGGAAGTGACACGCTTTTTCAAGCTCTACTTGCCTTTGAAGTATTAATGAATCTGACAAGACTGATGAAAACTGTTAAATTGGTGCTTTGTCTTCAACTGTCCCAGTGGATGAGAACAAAGGTCGCTTCAGAGAAATAATGACATGCACATATGGACTCTTAATGACCTCATGCCATGTATTTCCGTTGTTTTTTTTCTATTTAATTTTATTTCTTCTGACCTGAATATTATCCTCACCTGGAGTTCTATTATTTTTTGCTCTGTTAAGATGCATTCAAAATATGCTGCGTCCAGTAAATTTGGAAGCTCTGGTTAGTATTTGCCTCCACCTGCTGGTAGTGCAACGGTATGTCAGTATAAGATTTAAAATACTTAATAAGTCGTCCCTTCTCTGCAGTCCTGTCAGCTCTTCATCAACGTGCTGGTGGAGTCTCCGTCTGTCGATTACCACACCTCACTGGCCCAGAATGCTTTGCAAGTGTGCCTCACCCACCCAGAGCTGCAGAATGAAATGTACTGTCAGCTTATCAAGCAGACAAACCGCCGGACGCCGCACAACTACTCCCTCACACAGGTCAGCTGGGTTTAATCAGTTACATTACATTACATTACATGAGAGAACAGCAGGGTAGTTGTAGAGTTTAGCTGCAGTGATCCTGTAAATTAAAGATTTTCTCCTTTGATCACCTCTTCCTGTAGTGCTGGCAGCTGTTGTCCCTGTGTGTGGCTCTGTTCCTTCCTCAACAACATTTCCTCTGGTACCTGAGACAGTACCTGCAACATAATGCTGACCCAAGGTGAGGTGCCTAAACGCTGTAGCTGACCTTTTATTACTTAATCCATGGCAGAAAACCTCTAAAGTAACTTAAACCAGTTCTGAGGCAGTTTTTTTAGTGCATTGTTTACATCTCTATCCCTTTATTTCACAGGAGTGAGGTGGGGAAGTATGCAGTTTACTGTCAGAGGTCTGTGGAGCGAACTCTGCAGAATGGAGAGCGGGAGGCCAAACCCTCACGTATGGAGATCGTCTCCATCCTGCTGAGGAACCCCTACCACCATTCACTGCCATTCAGCATCCCAGTCCACTTCATGAACAACACCTACCAGGTAAGACAGTCACAAAAGTATAATACACTGTCACTGTCTTTAAATGCAAATACAATCCTTACTCAACCTCCTTTATAATCTAGCCTTAATAGTATAATAAAGACACCTCAGTATTTTTTCAGAGAGGTATACAATAAAAGTTGTGAAATAATCGCCTAAAAATAATATAATAATAATAAATAATTTGATGCTTTGATGCCCCCAACCCCCTTAGCAAGTTCAGTGTTTAGAAGATTAATTTTACTTTGATATCAGCAGGACAGACAATAAAATCATTACCAGTCTCATAACTACTGTGAAGTGTTTTTGGCACTGATATGGATCTATTGCTCAAACTGGACTTCCTGGATTGTAGTTTATCATCTCGCTGGTACCTAGAACAACACGACTGTTGTCTTAACTCCCACTTACATCTGCAGTTCTAATCTGCTGCTGCTTTTACTTTTATTGCCAATAGGTGTCACCATTTGGACTGGAACTGGGTCTTGTTTCTGGTGCTTCTCAGTTCAGATCTTTATCAGCTCAGATCTTTATTGTCCTTCGATGGGAAATTTGATTTAATACAAACACAGCATACAAGGGGACATTAGTCACAACCGTCACAGTCTATCCGTTTGTTAAAAATACTCTAACAATTGTAACGGTAGCCATCCTAAAGTGTTGCTGAGCAGTGCAGTCAGCGTCTCAGGTTCAATGCAAGTTCAGGGCATTTATTACCCACTTACTGCCCTCATCAATGAGACTGAGATGTGTCTCATTTGTTTTCTCATGCAGGTGGTGGGTTTCGACGGCTCCACCACAGTAGAAGAGTTCCTCAACACGCTGAACCAGAGGATCTGCGTGAGGAAGCCTCAGCTGTCGGGGTTTGCCCTCTTTACTGATGATCCATCCGGCAAAGACCTGGAGCACTGCCTGCAGCCGTCTGCCAAGGTACGAGCATGGGTCACTGAACATAAGTGCATGGAAGAAACCCTCTACACACCACTGAGGCTTTTGTGGTGCATTTATTCAAATATTCTGTCTCATGTTACCTAACATTTTAGAGGATCAGTAATGGGTAGTAAAATACTATTTTCACAAATAAAGGCTGTCCAAACTTTTTTGTGACTCTCTTTTGAAATGTATTCCTATTCCAGCATACCATAGCCTTCCTCTGTAATTTAATTCCATTCAATCATGATAAAAGCGCTGCTTCCACTTAATTTTCATTTTGGTTACTGAAACTGTTCCATTATGTTTAACCAGCCCACCAGAGACAGTGAAAAAACTACATTTCTAACTCTGTCTGACTCATACAGTCTTTGTCTCTTGCTGTAGCTACTGCCTCCTGCTGGCAGAAGCAGAAACAAGATAAAAACTTCCATATGTTTAACTGGAGAGTGACTTTGTATTCCCTTTTGGCAGATCTGTGATGTAATTTCCAAGTGGGAGCAGGCCCTGAAAGAGCTGCATCCTGGGAAAAATGAGGGGACACGGATTGTCCGGCTAACGTACAAGAGCAGGTAGGATTTCTATTGTCGCAGCTGCGCTTTGAAAGACCCAAACAGGGTCCATCTCACTTGCATCTTCTATTATGTGCTAACAACCATTTGTCCAAAGAGAGTACACAGACCACACAATAAAACACAGTGATGTGATATGTGTTCTGCCGTTCTCACAGGAGAAGTGTTGGGGGTTAAATTTCCTACATTTAGGAAATGAAGTGAAGTGTGCATAATTCCAGCCTTTTTCCTGGAAAACAAGTTCCCTGATAACCTTTTCTTCATTTGTGCATGTACAGGTTGTGTTTCAGATCTCAGGTGAAAGGTGAGACAGAGCGAGAGCGCCTCCTGCTGGCGTACCAGGTGAATGATGAAGTTCAACAAGGCCACTTCCCTGTGAACAAAGAGCTGGCTCTTGAGGTGGCAGCCCTCATGGCTCAGGTCTGTAAATATACAATATAAGCTGAAATCAAACTTATTGTCTTTCTCTTTCTAACCCTCTCTCTTCTTTCTTTTCTGTTCTTCCAGGTTGAACATGGGGATTTGGAGAGACCAGCTGCCTCCTCTCCTACCGGCTCTCCTCAGCCTAAGTCTCAGCTGATCCTCCTGCAGGCCTTAGAGCGCTTCTACCCCAAACGCTACAAACAGGACTGCAGCTCAGAGCAGCTCAGGTAAAACAAACACTGCTGTTTCCCAAATAAGAATCAACAGATTTATTTGATGTATTCTGCAATATGTCCTTGAAATTGTCCTGTTGGGAAAGGCCAGATCAGACACAAATACTGCAGGATGTTCTTGGTGTGCTTGTTCTCGTGATTTGCTACAGATGAGATTTAAACTTTAACCAATATTCCTTTTTTCTCCTTTCAGAGATCTTACTGAGCGTCTGGCCACTAAGTGGTCTATGCTACGTGGGTGCAGTGCACCTGAGTGTGTAAGAATTTACCTAACTGTGGCTCGGAAATGGCCCCTGTTTGGAGCCAAACTCTTCAGTGCCAAGGTAAGAAAAATGTTGCACTCTGACCTAATGTAGGCTCTCCTGTGTTATATTCAGTCCATGCTTTGAAGTCTTATTGAAACAAGCATGCTCTCTTGATACAAACCTTTCATTCAAAGTAAAAATACACTTTTAATTTGGCTTGAACCCTAACACAGCCATCCATCAAGCTTTCAAGCACAGGTTGGACCAGTCTGAGACCACAAAGAAGACCCAGAGAGGAAGCTGTAATGTTTACCAGGATGGATTACATCTGTAATATGACCTGTCTTTGTCTCCCTTGTCCACAGCCTGTCCAGCCCTCTCCCGTTGAGCAGAGCCAGGTGTGGTTGGCAGTCAATGAAGATGGATTGTGTGTGCTGGACTATACAATGGTGAGTTTAAAACATTTTAGAATTCAATTTAATTGTGAAAAATAAAAGCGAATGTGACCCAAACATTCTGTGACTCAACATACCATCCCGTGTAACTGAGTGACCGCACGTTTATTGTGGTGAAATACAGCTTTTTTACATTTCCCATTGCTTCAGTCTTTAAAGCTCAAACAGTGAGATCCCTTTTTACAGCTGCAGTGCTCAGCTGGCTGGGCCACGGCTGCATTGCTCAGTCGACCCAATGATTTTTATTCTGCGGCGTTTCCAAACAGCAGAAATCCACAGGAAAATAAAATGGCCAGCCTCCGATTTGACATTCTTGACCCTGACAAGCAGCAGTTCCAACATGTAAACGATGTTAGCTTGAGCTCTGTAATTTTCAGCAGCCCATGTTGATCCATTTCATTCTTGGTCTGGCGGCCAGCGCCGCTCATGCACTTTCAGAAAGTCAGAGAGGAAAAAAACAAAGTGAAAATGACTAGAAGTTGCTGGAAATTATGTCACGCTTCTTCACACTCAATTTGACCTTCACAAAAGCAGAAACCAAAATGATTTCCCAAATGGATTCCACGCTCTATTTTGGGATCAGCAGTAAAACCTGAGCATGCTCCCTGTTTATATCCGTTTCACTGCACATTTCTTTCTCTGCTCTCGTTTTTTAGCACACGCTGGTCACATACCCCTACCAGTCTGTGATTACCTTTGGTGGTTGCCGTGATGATTTCATGGTGGTCACGAGCCAGCAGAGGGAGCCCGGAGTCGGGAAGAAGAGCGCGGAGAAGCTGGTCTTTGCGATGGCTAAACCAAAGGTAGGTGTCATGGGTGCATCTGCACAAATGTGGATTTCCAAGTTTCCGCTTTGCGTCCACACACAAGGTTGTCATGTGTCGTAGGCTACTCGTAACCAAGGGTTGCAGTTACTACAGGGTGCGCGGATTGAGTGTTCAAGGTGTTACAATAAGTAAGTATAAGTAAGTACAATAAAGGAGCTCTGAAGATGAGGGAGGGAATCTTGAGCCCTGACTTCTTCATATTCACCTGTTTTTACGTAACATCACAACCGAGAGCTAATGGAGAAAACAGGTTGTTTCTCTTATTTTCTGTGCCGAATCTCAGTGGAGCTTTAACACAGAGTCATATTACTACTGTAGGTGACGCTAATGAGAGTAACTTCATTCTTGTTTGCCGATCAGCTTTCAGGTTTTCACATCTTCTGTGAGCCGCCGTGGGCCTCCAGCTCCCCCGAATCAAATGAAACACAATCATATCATCATGTTAAAGCCATTAATCCTGCTCTGATCTGACCGGTTTTTGCCCCTTGTCCCAGATACTGGAGCTGACTCTTCTCATGGCCAGCTACATGAACCACTGGAACCCCAGCCTCCCGCCTGCCTCACACCAGCCACTCGGCCACTGGGACGTAGACAGCAGGCACTTCCCCGCAATGAACTACACCACCAAGGGCCCCACACTACTGTGAATTGTGCAAGCAACAAAAACAACAAAGACTGTTTAACTACGGGGAGGCCTGATGGCAAAAGTCACCTTTAGTCTGCATTCATATGGAGTGTGTTGGGTTGCATGTCTGGGTTTTTACATTTTTACACAACTGGTACTAGGAGATTATTACATATATATTATATATGTTTTTTTAAATGAAGATTTAGGTTTAGAAATGTCAGGATCAGTCGTCTCAGACTATTTATTTCTCCAACAAAAGAGTGTTTCAACTCTGCTTTATTTAGATTTAAGATGTTCTAATTCCTTGGTAAAATTGGACGTTTATAAAACAGTAGTTATCTGAGGATTTGTCGTCACTCGTCACATTTCCACCTGCAGCGTGTTTCTTTTACTCATCGGTCGCTGCTCAGGTTTTTTTTCCTTTATTCTGACCGTCATGTTTTCCAGTCTTTCAGACCTCAGACTCTTTTCTTTCATAAAAAAAAACAAAGCTGTTGCCTTCTGAGAGCTGGGTTGACTGGAATACAGTGTCACTGTGTATTTACTATGAATGATCACTTGTACTTGACAAAGAACCGTAGTTTGAATTCATTTATGAGGTACTGTGCAATTAGAAAGGGACTGACATGGCATGTGATACTTCAGTTTCATAGTATCTTAATTTGATATAATCCACTCCTGATGTTACTCTAATTTAGAGCTGCAACAAATAATTATTTTCATTGTAGATTAATCTAATGATTGTTTCTTTTCAATTAATTGTCCGTAAAATGTAAGAAAACAGAAACTAAAGTGACATTGACATATTGACAACAGTCCAAAACCCAAAGATATTAAGTTTAATGTCATAAAAAATTCAACAACAGAGTAAATATACACATTTGTGATGCTGGATTTTTTGCTTAAAAATGACTTAAATGATGTATTCATCATCACAATTAGTAGACTAATCGACTATTTCTTTCAACTCTACACTAATATAATTAGCTAATAAAATAGGTAGGACAGCTTTTCCCCAAAGAAATTTAAGAAACCTTTTGTAATCCTTTACTATTGTTTTTAATGGGATGTTAGTATTTAGCTCACTTATCTAGCATAAAGCAGGCAATTTGGCCCAGATCTGCTACTAATGTAATGTAATGTAAACATGTAATATTATTGAGGTACTCAATAGGAAGGCTGGGATATAAAAGGTACAACAGTGATATACTTTATCTATTATGCATCTGTGATATTTCTGATGGTCCTCTGATAACATAATCAGGTCACTGAGTGTTTTAATAATCAACAAAGAGAAGAGAGGACAAATTAAAGAGCTACCAAAATATTTTAATGACTTGAACTGTTTTGGATCAAACCACTGTCTTGCTCGTGTCCATATTTAGTTATTTATTTTATTTCCAACATTTTTTTTTGGCTTTTTGTTTAAAAGGGTAATGTTTTCCACTGTCAACTGTCACATTTATATTGGAAGACTTAGTTTGGTTTATGTAACAGAGTAATTTAAGAGCAGAGTATGTTTGGTTACTGTATTAGAATGTGTTACAGATGTTTGAAAGATTATGTCTTTATGTTGCCTGTATGTGTGTGTGCTAATGAAATAAACGGTGCAACGATTCTGTCACTGACTTCTCCGTGTATTTTAATTTAATATATAGTTTTAATACCTTAAAGTGCTGGAAAGTAAGTAATACATATGTTTTTATTTTAAAAATATGATCTGACAGATTAAACAACACATTAGTAAAGAGCTAGCTTCAGCTCAAACAGTTTAATATAATACAATTAATATGGTAGTTATCAGTCTTTCCAATTATTAAATCTATATGTCACAATTCCACAATTAAAGCCAAATTACATATTAAATAATCACATTCTTGTTCAGTGTAATCAGCTGCCTTTCACTGTTGGACGGTTCTGGTCTCCTCCCCGTCCATTAATCCTGATAATGGACACCTCGTTGGGTATTATCACTTACATAACTGACACTGAAAGTTAATAAATAAAGTTTCCTCATTAACTCAGTTAACTGTTCAATAGACCACTCTGACAGAAAACTACATTATGAGTACTTTATTTTACAAATTTTACTCTTATTTTTAAATTTATATTGTTCTTTTTTATAATGTTTTTAACATCAGGGAGTGTTGTTTTACACAGCAGCATAATGACTTAAACTGAATACTTAAAGTAACTGATAATGTACTTTTACTGCAGGAATTTTACTTGTAATGGAGTGTTAATATAGTGTGGTATTACTTAAATAAAGGACCTGAATACTGAATACTCACTGATCACTATGAGTCAGGAGTCTCAGACTCAAACTAGCTTGGGGCCACTGATGGTATGGTCATCTCATAGCAGGGCCACTTCACGGTTCAAACACTACAAGAAAGCACAATATTCTGAAAATATATATTACATTACTAACATCAAACTTGCAGTTTCTTTACACTTTCATATCATAATTTGATTTAATTTTTGTTGTTCGCAGCCAAACAACAAAAAAAGGCCTGAAACCTGCTCTTTTCTTATCAACTGTTTGACTTTTGCACCAAACAAAATACATGTTCAAAAATAGAAATATTTTTATTTTAATAGTATATGAGGGGGTCATTTAAATTTATATGAAACAACTAAAAAAAAAAATACCATGCATATTCTTGTGGGCAGGATTATATGATGTTTTGACATCATGTCGCAGACCGCAGGGAGGTTGGATGGATGGATGGGGGGCCGGAAATGCCCCCCCAGGGCCGGCAGTTGGAGGTCCCTGCTGTAAGTATTTATTTAGCATGTATAATTCTCATGAAAAACCCAGATCATTTTGGTGTTATGTCTTGTTATTTTCAGGGGTAAGCAACATTTTTATAGTGCTTAAAAACTTCAAAATCTCCCAAATAATCAGTCGTTTAACAAACACTTTCATTGGCTCTCTCTTACTAAACATGTTTTGCCAGTAATCTATTCAGGAAACACAGGGTTCATACAATACTAACAAAATTCACAATTTAGTCAAAGCTCTTCTTGGAAAAATAAGAACACTGTTTCTACACACCATATTGCTAAAAAACGTCTTCACTCATTCAACACATCCATAAACTACATACTCACCCTCTGTGCTGGTTGTACACAGCCGGCCCAGTCTGCATGGTTTACTGGAGTTGAGGTTGTAGGGGTGGAAGCTGTTCTGCTTTTTCTTATCCAAGGGGGTCAAAGTGGTAATGGCATTTTCCTGCCAAATATATGTTGTAAATCCCACGTTTTTATAGCTTGTCTGAAGCTCTTGTTGTTCCATAGCTTGCTCTTGTACACCCGCCCCGAAAATGCTCATTATAGGGCTCACTGCTGAATTTCTGCATGCCTTCAATGCTCATCAAAAAAGAAAATAACTTCTCTAATTTTCCATGGCGCAGTGTGGCTCGTGTGCTTTATAAGCATTTAAATCAAATTGAATTTAAAGTAAAATATTCCAGTGTTGTTGGATAGATGGCCACTTTGTTACCCTTTTCTGTAAAAGCCTGACAGTGTGTTACTGGCTGACTGTGACTTTGTATATAGAGGGATGTATGTGCATAATTTAAATCCTAAAAATCCTCTGATAGTAGAGTATATATATATATATATATATATATATATATATATATAGAGAGAGAGAGAGAGAGAGAGTCATATCATATAAGCTTATCATGTTTTTTTTATATGAAAAGTAACTATAGTGGAGTTAAAAGTACAATTGTCCCCTTGGAGAAGTAGTGGAATAGGAGCATAAAGAATAAAATACTCAAGTTAAATACAAATATATCACTTTTGTTTTTACTCAAGTACAGTATTTAAACACTCTGTTACTTTCTATCACTGCAGAAAAGCAGCAAACCTTCATATGTGAGTTTCTTGAGCTGGGGAACAATTATACAATTATTAGATTAACAGTTCTTCATCACAACAAGTTCTCTGATGGACCAAACTTGAACATTTTAAAGGTCTTACCCGCTCACATAAAATTAGCCTTGTCATGTTTTTATTGTAGGTAAAGTGGCCCCTTTAATGATCCCGTTAACTGCTCGTTTCACTTCCTGTTGTGATACGGTATTTCAGCTGAATGCCGACTGTAAACAAGTAGAAAAAAAACCTACAAAAAACTTTCACTTTTACGTAACACGTTTGGTATGTGAAAAGTAGGGGGGATGAAACCTGTTGAGCCTGTGACATTTCTACGTTACACCTCTCTGATTGTACACATTTCCCCACTAAAGGAGCAGGAGTCTAAAAGCACAGGGGGGGGGGGGCATCAACCTGTAGGGGACATTTTTAGTTCATTATTATTTAAGTCATTTAAAAAATTCCAAACATTTGCTGGTTCAAGCATCTAAAAAATGAAAACTTGCTGCTCTTCTCTCTGTTGTATAATTGTAAGCTGGATGTCTTCAGGTTTTTAACTGCTAATCAAACAAAACACAATGTCGCCTTCAGCTCTGGGAACTTGTTTTTAACTAGCTTGGTACATTTTATGGACTAAAAAATTAACTAATAATGGAAATAATCCTTTATTTAGACATGCAAACTACTGGAAACATTACATATCATGTTTCATTGAGTAAATAGATGACCCCCCCTCACTAGGTTTATGGGTAACAGTGCAGAACAACTGATAAACTGGACAATTAACCCCAAATAGTGAACACAATTACTGCAATTACTTTTTAATCTTAACTATTTAATAGGAAAAATTCAGTGTTTTAGTCTATCTAATGTTTGGCCTTTTGCTATTATCTCTTTAGTTGTTTTAACTTTATACTCTATATAGCGTCTGTTCAGGTCTAGATCTTAAATAATCATCTAAATTTTACAAATTTATGTAGTTTTCTACACAGAATAGAAATAAATGCTCATTTTTCTTACACCCCTTAAACTCAAGAAAGCCTTGTGACCCCTTGTGAAGCTTTGGTGACCCCCAGTCTGGGTCCAGACCCCCCAGGTTGGGATCCACCGTCCCAAAACTTTTGTGTTGTGTTCTCCAAAGACAGATTATGGGTGGAGTATCATGTTGAAATAGACAGCGAGGTTTATCGGATGAATCAGAGTGTGTAACATGCTTGAACCTGCTGAAGCATGAAAAAATTATTCAGCCTCACTTGATTTTAATTGTCTGACTTTTTTTTTTTGTGCTTCCTGAAATGTTTCTAATTCCGGTTCCTGCCATGTAACGTACTTTGTAACTTTTATTTGAAAAGGGTTGTATATATAAAGTGTATTATTATTATTATTATTATTATTATTATTATTATGCAGGATTACCTCCTTTTGGACTGACATACTGTACAGTGTCTTTTTGTGCTATAACTCCAAAGGAAATGTCATAGCTGCAATCATGTACACTTACAATACTCTACATTTACACTTTTTTTATTCATGATGATAAAGATACAGAAAACCAGAAATAGGCAGAAATTGACAATAATTTTGAGCCCTTCCCTCCTAAAAAATGTAACAAATCATGTTTTCGTCTTATTATTAAGTGGGTTTTTAGTTCCTACCATAGTAACATGAAACACAGTATACAAAACAAATAAACTAAATGAATAATAAACAGTGTAAACCAGCTGAACTATAAATGTAAATCCCCTTCATGTGCTCATTATGAGGCAAGAGGGTCAAGGTTTATCTGTTTTTTTATTTACAATATTCAGACACAGTGCAGGAATGGGAGGGTAAATGTGACCCAGCAGAGAGAGTTTGGTGCTGGAAGTCTAATTGAGTCCATATTAGCTGTGTGAGCACTCGGAGAGATATCGCTGCTGCGCTGCTGAGCTCTGAAACTCAGCTAAGCTAACTTGAAGCCTGCAGAGACAAAGACACAACAGTCACCTCACTGCAGAGCCGTGGGGAAAGGGACCGGGTAGGTTGCTCACCGCCGCTGGAGCATACTGTACTTTATGACACAGTTAATTAACCTCGGATCATTTTGGTTTTTCTTACATGTGTTTTGGTTTTAGTGGGAGAAAAAAAAAAATGACAACCAAAAAGCCGCAGAGCATGCTCCGGGAAGCTTCTCATCAGATTATTGCCGGTGGATCCGCTGGTAAGTCCCAACAACTACTTCTAAAAACCCACACTTATTCAGATTATGCAACAGTTTAAGGAGCACACACGCACACACACACACGCACACACACGCACGCTGTTAAAATGTGTGTGTTGCGTTCAGGGTTTCCCGTTAAACAACAATTACATGGACGACCTTCCCACAAACGGCGACCGGAACGCCTCCGGTTGTACTCGCACACATGAGAATAAAGTTTTCGGTGGAAGGAGCTCCGCCGAGCCAAAGAGTATGCGCCGTGTTTACCAAGATAGTTCTCGTGCTTTTCACTTCCTGTTCAGGGAACAGCCGCCGGGTCAGGGATCAGTCCCGCGCATGCGTACAGCTGTCCAGCTGCCGGAACGTCATCCGGTGACTCTGTGGAGGGGTTTATATTATTTTTTTACCTTCTTGTGTGTTTATGGAAGCATTTTATGTTATTGATCTTTAGTAATTTTACATTGTGAAGCAGGAATTCAGTTGGGTTAGAGAAAATGTTTTTGGTATGTGATTAACTGTTGAACTATTATGTTATAATGTTTGAACTAGTTAAAGGGAGGATCTAGTGGCAGTGGAGGACGGAGGTTACATTGAGGCAGCTGCTCTCCCACCCCCCCTAAAAAATGCCTTGCCACCCCAGTTTAGTATTAATGTTGTCAAACAGGCAAGTAATTTTGCTTGAATTTCCCTCAGGATCAATAAAGTATCTATCTATCTATCTATCTATCTATCTATCTATCTATCTATCTATCTATCTATCTATCTATCTATCTAATGTAATGATTTATTATGACCACATTTTAGTGATCGGTTTAAGTTTGATTAAAAAACAACAACATTGTTTTGTATTTGGAAAGAATGTTTCAATATTTTAAATTAAAACAATTTAATGATTTCTAATGCCAACTTTAGATATTTACTAACTAATACTACTAATATTTACTAATGTGCCACACTAATGTAATGTTTTTAAGTTCAAATATCTTTTATTTGGGGGATTTTCCAAGCACATATTGATATAAGTGAATGTTTATGATTAAATCGCATATGTTTCTTAAGTCTCCTGCCACCCTCTGACCACCACATATTTCTCTTGATCCGCCCCTGTCCTAATCGTAAAAAAGATCGAACCCAAACGTTTCGGTCAATAAGGCATTCACAAAATGTATTATTGGAACAATGTTGAAAATAGGAATTCACCACCTGGGAGACAATCTTCTCACTGTCTCACTGGGAAATGTAAAGTGGGTGCACAGTAAAAAATAATTACTCCACCAGTGGATGGACGGGGGCTGCCTCCCATTAAAGTCAATATAAACAATGCAAAGTTAAAGATGGTGCAGGTTTTATTTGCTGCTCTGCTAGTGTCCCTGTGGCAACTAGTGGTAGAAAAATATAAAGAGACTATTTGTTTTATTAGCGTTGTTGTAATTCGGATTGCGGCCACCGGTGGCAGCAGTGAGCTCAGAGCCACCCCCTCTGTTGTTGGATTAATTATGGTGTTTTACTCGACCTGCCTACATTTTCCTTCAGGTTTCTCTCTATCTGGTGAGTTTGTACTTTAAATATTCTTCCCTTTTGATGGATTCAATGAAAAGTTGAGCAACGGAAATGTTGAAAGAGAACTTGCTTTGTTATTTAGCTTTAATGAGAACAACATTTATTACCTGTGTTGGCTTCTACATCTGGCAAGATATTATATTTGTGTATTATTTTATCATTATGAAGCTGCTGCTGTGGTTTGTCCATTCAACCTCTCGTTGCCTTGGTAACTAACCACCATGTGACGTTAGGTTATCTGTGTAACTAGGCGACACAACAGTGGGAAAACAACCAGTTTAAAACCCTTTCAGACTGGGCAGTCTTTGTGAATGTAGTTTAATCATTAGTGCAGACATCTCCAATGTGATTCAGTTGGATACTAATCACGGATTATAATATTACAGAGAGCTGAGGTCTCAATTTAAGGTAATTGTGGGTTAGGGTCTAATCCGGAAGTGAGCAGAAGACAAACCTCTCGCTTTTTTTGTTTTGCTCTGCGTTACTCCTTTAACCCCCCCAAAAAAAAAAAAACGCTCATCAGTTTACGTTTGATCAGAGATGCACTGGAGGAGGAAACCAAGCAGAAGTCTTCATCATACGTTTAGTGAAATATGAGTGAAATATACGTTTTGGTGTGAAGTGTGAAGAGATTTCCCATAACATCAAAGTGCTCACACCTACTGAATAGTAATCATTCTGCAGTAATTATGACATAGTGAAGCCCAAATGACTTGTGAAACAATACACACCCAAGCTTTGATTGTGAAATAGTAATTCTGTTGAAAGAGTTTCATCATACAGATAAACTGCCTGCATAGTGAAGAGGACTGAATATTATTCTGTCTGCTCGGCCTTGTAAGTCCCATGTGGAAAAAAAGATCAGTTAGAGCTGGACTGTGTGACCAAAAACAAGTTTTTTTTTGTTTGTTTTCTTGCTTGACTGGGTCTTTATATAGGTTTATAGAGGCTTATTCTACTGTCAGGAGTACATAGAACATATAAAAACATTTTATTGCCCTACTGAAGGCTTTAGGGTTTTCTTGTCCCCACCAAATGGTTCAATATATGAAGGAATCAGAATATAAACATTTTTATTGTGCAAACTGCAATGTAGTAAAAACAGAACTAAAATCTAAAAAGATATGCCAATAACTTTAAAATGGCTTTCTTTTCCATAAAAATATTTAAATAGTTTATAAACACTATAAACTTACATAAAATACTCAATGTATTTAAGTCAAAAATCATCATACAGGAAATTAATATCGCTCAGCACTACGATCAGTTGCAGTGTTTCAGAAAATGGCTCCAATAGGAGGATGCCAATAGTGAACTCTCTTTTGTTTTCCTCTATGTAAAGCAGTGTCCAGAACCAAAGTCTAAGTTAATCATTTTTCTTTCCTCAAATCTTTTGAGCAACGTTGTGCAAAAAAATATGTGGTTACACCAGAAAGTCGTTGTAAGAAGTGTGTTTTGCATTGTATTGTAGGATTATCGATAGATAGTCAACAAAAAAATGATACACACACTTTGGTAATGTAGTCAGTTTAAATCTTTGTGCTGTTGTCAGAGGTTCTGCAGGTGTGGAGGGTCACCGGTTTTTAACTTTTTCATGGGTAGTGATAGTGAACATGTAATGATTTACTCTTCATGAACTGCTACTGTGAAGGTTTTGTCTCCATCCTCCATTGCTCTGCATGTGCAGCTCAGTGACCAGCAGTTCAGATTGTTGTTGTGTGTGTGTGTGTGTGTGTATATTTTGAGGAATGAATGTGATGCATTCACGAGATGTTGGCTGCTCAGGAAAAAAAATGTTTAAAGATACACCATACTTGGTGACTTATCGAGTTCTGCAGTCAACCAGCGACTGTAAATGTTTGTTTGTGGAGTAGAGCTGCAACTATTAATCGATTGGTTGTCAACTATTAAAGTCACTGCCAGATATTTTGATAATCGATTAATCATTTTGATTTGGATTTATTTTAATGAAAAAGATCAAAATCCTCTGATTTCAGCTTCTTAAATTGGAATATTTCAGTTTTTCTGTCCTCCATGATAATACACTGAATATCTTCGGGTTGTGGATAAAAGAAAGAGATTTGAGGATGTCACTTTGGGCCTTGGGAGACATTAATCAACATTTTCCACAATTCTTTGACATTTTATGAACCAACTAACTAGAGCGGAATAATCAATAATGAAAATAATCGTTAGTTGCAGCCCTATTGTGCAGTGCCAGTTTGGCAGTCAAGCACTAAATGTTTAATGAAGGAAATATGATGTTCCTTTTATCTTAGCTATTTGTGAACAACAGTGTAAAGCTATCAAACAAGCAAGACTGTCAAGGCTTATCATAAATAACGGTATACTTTTTCTTCATGGTGTCAGTTTTTGATTTTTCTCCAGCCGAACAAGCCAACAGCTGTACACTATAAGAACCACAAAACTCTTTCCTCGTGTTTCTATTCTTGGTGTTTTTGCTGTGCTCACTCATTAGGTTGATCAACACTGAAGGGTGTTTTTATCTTTCTGTCCAATGTCTTTAGCAAAGTCCTTTTATCTTTGGGATATATTGTTTTCATATTCGGAGATAACAATAATAAAGTCATTCTCTCCTTTAGAGATGCCAGAATGTTTGCCAGCGCACATGGGGCCTCTTTACAGTGTCGTTAGTGATATAGTTTAATTTGAATTATTTAGATTTTACTACATAAATGGGCATAGAGTATGTTTTTATTTCGCTACCACCAATCAGTGCCTCTTCAAATGCTCAAGACATCTCTTTCCCAACTGGGTTTGTGGCTGGTTCCAGATTTTCCAATCCATTGGAATCATACGCCTCCAAGATATCATTCCTGAACCGATGCTGCAAGTGTTTTTCTGAGAGTTGTGCATTGGAAAACAATTACATTTAACTCATGCGTTTACACTGCTGGAAAGGAGTCATGGCAGAGTGGAAGAAGCGGTCCAAAAACACGGCTTCATTTTTACAAAGAAAGATGAGAACAGTTGTAAATAAGTAAAATGACAATTTCAAAGTAAGGGTGGATACACCAGCAGTAACATAATTCTACACAACATGGGCTTAACTTGTAGTAATGCCATGTATTTGACACTCGAGTGCCTCTGTGCGTCCGGTCCTGAGGGTAAATATCATATGTTGTCATAGCATTAGTGCCATGAAGGCAGGCTTAACACATTCTTACTTTACACCCGAGTCACATGCATGCCTTTTTTTGTACTTTTGATATGATTTATAATAATAAAACAGTTGGCTTTGATGCTGAAAACCTGTGCAGGCCTACTTTTCCACACACAGAAAATGTGTTAAGAATCAATAAGGGAATTAGATATATAATGGCACCAGTATCTATAAAATCTTATCAATTGCCATCCTTATTTTTTGACACTTTCTCTTCCCTCCATCAGATTTTCAATTGTGGACTTTGACTCTGTTT